AACAAAAACTATAATAGAAAATACAGGTATTAACAATTCAAATGTAATCAAAATACAACAATGTACAACTAAGGGGATCAATAGGAACAAAGTAAAGTATATACATGGAGGGATTTTCACCAACACACAAAACCTTCAATATGGATCTCATATCCAGTGTCAACTCGAATACAACATCGACAGGTCGCTCTCCCTCGAGAGTTATCTACCTGTTCACATGTTCTCATACGAGTAGATTCGGTACGCAAACCTTTGCAACAACCTTACGAAGGCCTTTTTCGCTTGATCGCTTGTCAGGAAAAGACCTTCAAGGTTGATCGACACGGCCGCGTCGAGATCGTCAGCATTGATCGTCTCGAACCAGCACACGTCGATGACAGTGCCCTATCTGACAACCTGAGATTCAATGCTAGACCTATCAAACCTTCTAGCGGGATCCTCAAACCATCTTCAGGTCCCACGCTAGATACACCTGAGACCTCATTCTCACGTCCCAGTCAACAGCACGCGTCATCTGCACCGTCAACGGACGAGACGACAGTCTCACGTCCAGATCAGCAGACCACACCGCCCCTTGGCTTCGGATGAGATTGCAGGCTCACGCGACGCGAACTAAACTACCGTCTCACGTTCCGGTCGCCGAGTACGGTTGCCCGTACGCTTCCGCGACTAGTCTCACAGTCAACAACCGATACGGTGTAGGAATATTCCTATGCTACACGCATGCTACACTCTTCTCTTTTTTGATTTTCTTTTTGTTTCCTGAGCCTACGCCTTCGACCATCTCCGTTTGGTTCCGTCGACTTCAGTCAACTTTGGCGAAAGCTGGATTGGCCGCCCACGCTCTTGTCAACGCACTCAGTCGATATTTTGGTTTCGAATGCTTGGCATACGCTTGGTCTCGAACTTGGTCGTTACGGTCGCTTCTGGTCTTTTGGCTGAAGGTGGTTTCGTCCTACGTCTGCAGCGTTTCTGGTCCGCATTCCCTACGAACACAATCTTCAGATTCTGGATACAAACCACTCTGGTGTGACATGCCAACTCAAGCAATAAATACAGCACATCGCTCCTGGTACCGTTCTCCGAAAACGACCTTCGTTGGCAACTCGACGATCAACGATCGCTTTCCTGTTCGCCAATTCTTCCGTCCTACAATCGCTCGTCAGCCGATCAGTCCGACGATTTAAAACGCTATTTATCGAAAGTGTAAGCCCTTTCTAGCCGAGGGGTCCTGTAGCGACTCACATTTATCACGAGAACACGACTGGCTTAATAAAAACAATTATTATTATAACCAACTGTACCAGTGTTTGTTTTAACGTGCTTTTGTTTAACTGTGCTAATTATAGCAATTTCGTGCTTCCATTACCTTCCATCATTGTTCCGCGGTTTTTGGTACTGTTCGCACGTACTCCCGTCTTCTGCTTCCACTTGTACCATTCCTTGGCACGATCTCGGTATTCGTTCAATACCACGAGATCGCCAACCAAATAAATCTGGTTACGTTCAACCTCCGCCTTCTGATTTACCTGGCACGTGTTTCTTGGTAGCGGTGTTTATAGATAATCTCAACTCGACGCCACGCTACAGACTCTAATCAGCTCCAATTTTGGTGAACTTTCACACTAAAAAAATACTGCAACGTTACTTAAACAAGAGTTTTGAGGTCTTGTATCTATGTATCTTACACATCATTATCAGTAACAATTTGTGGATTCCAATAACTTTGTAAGGAATCCATGTTTACATGAGATGATAACTACTGGAATCAAGTTTCTGAATGATTAGAAACACTAAGGTGAATAAGCGTCTCATGCGTTTCTCTCAAAATTAATTATGGGATGTATAATAATAGAAGAGTTTAACGTAAAGGTAAATGTTTTATGATGCTTGAGAAATAGTGGTTTATTCTTTGGAGGTAAGACCACAATATCGTTCTAACTGTTCTATTCACATGAACATAACATCAATTTTGTTGAAATGCTCACCTCGCTTTCATGAGATAGTATTCTTATTAAGTCTGCTGATAATTAAAATTAGGAAATCAATTGACGTTTTCCTTTATGTTGGGCAGAATTCATAATCAATAGAATAATTTCAAGGAAGTATCGGGTAGAAGGTAGATTCATTGATTTTAGAGAATATTTTACACCAATTCAAAACCTTTTACCCAAAGTATAGTGGAAAGTTTTCGCATGGTTGTTATACAGTGTCCATGGCATTCATTTGATCCTACTTGGAACTCGTCAGTTAAACGTTTGTACATTTCATTGTTGATGTTAACACAGTGACTCAAATCCGTTCACTTTTTTAAACGGCAGCTTGTCCTCAGTGATCCAGAGTTAAAGTTGAAACAAACTTTTATAGTAAGTAATAGGGTATTGGTGAAGGCTTGTAACTGGTTTGTTGTAGGTATTTACAAATGTCGAATTCTATATGGATTAAAACTCTCGGATTCCGATGCTAGGCACATACCATGTACATTAAATTACTGTATTGTGTTGTCGAAACAGTGGATAACTTAAAAATGATATGGAAGCTTTTCAGCCTATATAAACCGAATCATAAAGTGAGTACAAATAATGATCTAGAGAAAGAACTGAAACAAATTCAACTGTGCCACTTCAACAGAGTTTGTGTAATTTTTCAAGAGACGATGACCCAGTATTATACTACAGTAAATTACTCTGAGAATAGCACGCAACATTTGATACATAACAACTCCGAGATTAATGACAAGAAAACGCTGAAAAGCCCTTCACAGCACTTCGTTGTACAGTACAGTCATTTATTTGCTTATTCTCCCTGTCGTGTATTTTAACCTTCATTCAAATCTCTTTTAACCACAATTTGTCTTCTTTGGTCTTCGTTGTCTGAGCTTTTACTTTGGTTAAAGATTTGCCTTCTGCTACCTAATTTTTCTGTTGCACATTTTCGCACTATTGACAATAAGATTGTGTTTGCCTAAGCTCAAGTACACGGCGTGGTCCAGTGTATGATTGTTAATCTTTGACTATCTTCTTGGAAAGACTACTGGAATCCCTGAGGATAGATATTTGATCCAGTCTCGTTGGGAATATTTTTATTGATTCTCAGGTGTTGAACTCTTGTGTATTAACCACCCATTTTGTTGTTTATCACTCCAATTTGTGTTAGAGAAATTCTTGACTGCATAGCACAGGCTGCATCGTTTGAGGTATTTTATATTTTTGATATAATGTGTTCTCCTCTTCAAATTAGAACCATTTAAATTGGGCACGGAGCTTGTGTTTTTGGTATGATTTAATACGAGTAAATCAAAAACACATCGTACTCTGTACAGAAGAACGTAGTCTGGTCTAATCGAACAAACTTTGTTTAGTTAGTTCTGCATTCAAATCGAATACTAGCATTTTGGTCGTTACATACAGATTCACAGCTTAATACTTTCTCGTTCTCGTTGATGGACAACTACGAGATCTCTGGTTTGACTTTGTACGAATCCTTTAAGACATTAGTTATGCTATGCTAAGGTGGCTTCAGTATATTCCTACCGCAACACATTGTAAATACAGTTATTTAACGGAGGCGACTTTCAATCTACACCGAACAATAGGGGTCAGTATTGATCTTCCACTGACAATTACTTTTTATCAGAATGAGTTTTATGGAGATTTTAGTAAATTTCACAAGTTGAAATCATGAGTCAGTTGAAGCTTCGTGGATTGGTTGAAGTTAGACATTAACACCGTTGGATGCCGGCTCAGTGGTCTAATGGTTAAGTGCTCGCGCGCGAAGCCAGTAGGTCCCGGGTTCGAGCCCCGCGTGGTGCGGGATCGTGGATGCGTACTGCTGAGGAGTCCCATACTAGGACGAAACGGCCGTCCAGTGCTTCCAGGTTTTCAATGGTGGTCTAGCTTCAACTGACTCATGATTTCAACTTGTGAAATTACTTTTTACCAACTACTTTCTTGTCGGTTTTGGATAAAAATATTTGCAACTTTTCTAGTTATCTGTTCCATTTCATCCTTGGATATTACCCGTTAATATATATATTCAGAAACTTGCCGCTGTCGTATAATAAAATCTTTTAGCCTGTTTGTCTGTCGTCTGAGGGGCACGTTATTGATATTGATATTTTTTTGTGAGGGACGATATCCGAGTTGTAAAGCATAAGCATGATGAAGATGGGGTGATAAGTTATCTATTAGATCTGTTTTGTACAATTCAGCGTTCACACTATTTATTATTCTTGAGCAAAGTCCCACAGCAGCGTATACTTTATTAAATATACGATATGAGTTGGCAGGGACATTCACATACTTCATGTGCTCATACCCAGTATCAAACCCGTAGATGAGTATTTGCTGACAGAGTCTCCTAGGAAGTGTGAAGTGTTACTATTCTATGTCATGACCAGTCGCTGTTTTCAGGGATAGCGAGCTTTTGGTTGTTCAATTAATTATTCTACCTGAATTTGTCTGAAACGTGACGAGCCGAGGGTTACATATCGCTTCATATTGTCAAAGGAACTGGAGATATAGTAGGCATGGAGTTAAACCTAATTGATAGACCATTAATACGAAAAAAACGACAGTGTCAGATAGCATGGAATATTGCATTGTTCTAATTCATACTGTGAAAAAATATCACGATTTTACGCAGGTTCGGACGACTTGTGGCCCTCATATAAGTGTAATCCTCCAACTACTTAGTCAGATACGCATCGATAATCACTCAATTTCATTTAATTTGCAAAAGCATCTGGACAATAATACTGGTTGACTTGGAGGTATTCAGCAAACATTAATGTACCAATACAGCCAACAAAAACCACAGACTTACTTCAAAACATTGGTTACATGTTTATAAAGTCACTTATTCCTCTGCTTTGAAAAAAAGTTTTTACAGTGTTCCATTTCTTTGTTTTACCAACTCACATACTTGTAAGTTTACTCAGGGTCGCCTAAAAGTTTTATTTGAAATCACTCATGTGGTTAGCTTGTGGATGATAGCTAGAAATGGGTAAGGAGTAAAATATAAAAAGTAATAAAGTTCGCTAAAACTTAAGGTAAAATTTATTGTGATAAGTGCCGTCGAAAATGCCGCGGAGATGTTTTGCGAGTATCAAATAAGTATTTTCATAAGGACTGTTTTAAATGCACAAGTGAGAAATCTCAGACTTATCAAACAATACATAGAATGTAACAAAAGCCTTGAACATGGCGGATTTTTCGTGAAGGATGGTGGTTTCTATTGTCAGGATGATTATCGGCGTTATTTTATTGCAAAATGCAAAATTTGTTCGGAGGATCTAACTGGAGAAGTAGTGACAGCCCTCAATTTCTCTTTTCATCGAGGTTGCTTCAAATGTAATAAGTGTTCGTAAGTTTTAGTTCCTAAGGTTCTATCGTAATTCTTTTGTGTCACATGGTTATGATTTCGTGAACTAAATATCTGACATATTTAGGTTTTCTTATAATGATACCGCCGCAAGTGCAATTAACTTCTATAGGAGGTATAAATACAGCTTATAAAGTCTATAGACTTCGCGGTTGGTAGTATTCATACCTTAACGACGTTCCGGTTCATGAAATTAAACTCTGTTGTTAACGAACTTTCCCACGATTTGGTGATTATCGTATTTTTGGTGATATCAACGTAGCTTTGACTGATTTTAAACAGAAATAAATTGGTTGTCTCACCAAGCACTAGCAGATGCCACAAATTATCATTGAGCTTAGTTATTAGTCTCTCTTAAGGAGAGTAGATAATGTACAAAATCTCGTTTCGTGTGAATTCGGAAACTTGCCGTCCCAGTATATATGTCTCGGAAATAAACTATATTTGCAATTCAGCTCTAACCTTTATGACAGCAACGTCATGTTTCTTATTGCAGTTAGGTAAAGTGTGGCTTTATACTAGTTACTGGTTCGTGTTGGCGTTCCATACTAGGTATGCGTATTCGGTCAGCCATCATAACATCGTATATGGTTCGTCTAAACACTGCATAAAATCAAAATCAATAACGAATTTGCCATTTATACTCCATGATGTTAATTTTTTTGTCTCATTTATTTCCTTGCTTGGCAGTAAATCTAAGCGAGTCAACCGCTACTCAAGATGTGCATTAAACAGTCTTCTCACTAGCAATGCATATAATTCTGATTAAAATTCTATCTCCCTATTTTTGGGTCTATGGTTCGACCCGTTTAATATAAAGCACCAAGCTAGTAACTAATAAATTTGTAAGGCAACACATTACTTTGGAAATTAAAATCCGAAATTTTGAACTTCCCTTTATTTTAAGAGATCGTAGTAACAATGCAATGTTACATATACAGTCCATTAAAGCAATATTTATGCTTTCATATGATGTTATTTCCGTAAGTTCTAGTTCGTGTGAGTGAAAAAATTTTCATTATGATTTGTCGTTTCCTTCTAATTTTTGCAATAGGATCACGTTCCGTCCTGGTGATCGCGTTACTGTTTGGCAGGAGAAATTCTATTGTCCACATTGTATCAATCAAGTATGCTGTTCTGCGACTGTTGGTAGTGTTCCTAGTAAGAACCTTCTCCAGACACCTTTGTCTGTTACTGATGATGAAGGTTGTGTCAGTGCCAGTGATATGGCATCGTCACAGTATATTCATGAGCAGCTAATCGAGATGAACCAACCGCAAAACGATTTCTCGTGCATTTCTTCTGCTGGACTTCCTCAAAAATCAAGATCTATTCTTCGAAAACCTGTCATAGAACAAAATGGTCTTCATGCATCCAAGGAGAAAGGATACTTAAGTAAATCATTACATTACCGAGTCTTAATTTTAATTCGCAGGCACAGATTCTGGTCTCGGAGAGCGTTTATGCGAAGTAAGCCATAAGTATTATAAAAAACCTTTCGCTCATATATTCACTTGAAAAATTAAGTATTGGATTATCGGATTGGTATGTTGTCATTTGTAAAATTTTCCGAATGGCTTACGGTTTGATATGTTGGTAAAATAACTTTCCAACAACGTCCCATCTACCTACTAAATTTACTAACATTACGTTATTCTCATTTTTGTAAATGCTAACATGCAGAAACAGTAGTTATTCTTCATGTTTGAATGTGTATGGTTTCGGTAATTTATGACTGCTAAGCATTAATTTGCAAAACTAATATATCATCATTAGTTAGGCTTTGATTTCACAAATTTCAGAATAAAAGTGATCTGATTTCTTTCTTGGTTTCATGTAAAAATGAAAACACTGGGGTAGATTTGCTTTGAGAACATATGTTTTTACCACTTCGAAATATATTCTGTTAAACGACTGATAGATAATTATAACAATGCAGTTTAAAACTGGTTTTAGTCGCAATATAAATCCACTTTTATTTTACGCTTGTACAACAAAGTATCGTTCTAATTAAATTATATTCACTTCCATTTATCTTTCTTCTATGTACCCTATTCATGTTTTTACGACCAGCGAAATCTAATTGTTTGGTACATTTTTTGAATTAAATAGCAAATTAAACTACGTTTTTATGTCTTTTTCAACCTAACTTAACAAAGTGAAGGTTATTTTTAATGTAATTCTTATAGTGGTAAACTTAATAATGACAATGTATCAGGATAAATTATGTAAAAAAGCAGTATAACTCACTAAGTATTGCTGTTAAGCTATATTTTTTATGTGGTTAGTTAGTGATAACAGCAAACTGTTTTAACCAAAGTAGTTGATGTGTAGTTTGTGCCTCCAATCTGACAACTTCGGAATCAGTCCACATGTTTTAGACAACGTTGTACTTGCAAAATAAACTTTTATTGCTATTAGAGTACTATGATTCAATTTATTTGCTGTGTAACGTAAAACCTAGTATATTTCCATTGATTCAATTCGCCAAACCACATAAGCACAGTGAGATTAAATTGTCCAGAAAAATTTTAGTCAGAGCAATAAAAGTAATAACATTGTTAGTACCAGAAGAAAACCGCTAGGCATAGATAATGTAATTTGAGGAGACAATGAATTCGCGGATTAAAATGTATGAGAGACTTTTGAAACTCATGATCTAGTTGAAGATAAAGTGGATGCTCATCTGTTCCATAAAGTTGATTGTCAGCTATATCACAAAATATCTCCAACAACTAATTAAAATAACACACTAACGCCAACCAGGTTGTCTGAGTCAATAAAAATTTCAGGACTCGAACTCCTGATTTTCCTCATTTTTAGTCAGACGTTGTGACACAAGCCACAGGTGTTCAAACACTGGTTGATCGTTATGTAGAATAACTGTTCGTATTCTTTTATCAAATTACGTTACCAGTTTGCCGAACAGTTGTATTTGTTTGGCAGTGTATGGATATGATAAATGGCTCGGAATTTTAAGTGTTTAGAATGAGTTATTAGCTGGTAGTAATTCTGTGTTGAATATCATCCATATCACACTTTTATTCTGAAGTATTCATTCGCATCACCACACATGTGTGGTGATGGTTAGGAGTTCGTTCTGTACCTTTCACAGTAAGCTTGTTTTTCGGCTCTGTTGTTATTTTAAATTTGTTCAAAGTCCTTTTCTCACTATAATTTTCTAGTCAACCAATTTGGAGGATTCAAACTATAGGCATTTATATGTTGGAAACTCTGATCAGGATAAAACTAATATACGTCAGGAGGAAGTCTCACACTCTGTCTTTCCATCTGTCTAGACACGTAAGTTTCTGAAGAGTTATTTTCAAAATAAATCATACAAAGTGAACAACTGGTAATTTTAAAAAAGTGTCTAAGATTTTCTTAACTATCTGCCAATTTTTAATTGGTGCAGACAAAAATTTACTAGTGTGGTGCAGACATATCTATTCCTCATATTTCTTTGAATCTAAAATATGCTATAACCATATTTCCCTGTCTCCCTCTACATACATATATACCTTATATATCCATATCCTTAATTAAGAATCATTTTCTCCGGCTTATTGATTTGTTACGTATTTTTAAACATAGAATGGTAACCAATATCATATCTGTTTTATCCTTGTCGTACTGATCGAATCCAATCGATCACGTTGCAATATGGCTACCCATCTAAGTTACTTAATATCTTGTGCACTTGACAAAGGTAATCGATAGGAAACCACGAATCTAGGTTTAATGTCTTGGTTCACTCACGAATGTTAATATAATTGAGCGAGCGATCTTAAGATCAGACCCAGGGTACTAAGTAAAAAATGACAAATCGATTGATGAAATAGTGGATCTTCATCGACTGAAAGTGGTTTGGACATGTACTACGTGTATATTTAACCACCTACATCAACAAACTGTTTGCTGGTGTAATAGTAAGTTCAAAGATAGGTAAGGACAACCAAACCAAAACATGAGGTCTTTCCATAAAGTTGTTATCAGTTGGGCTGAGCCATGCTCGTTGGGGTCTGCAAAAGCATTAAAACAAGTTATTGCAAAAGTTAGTTGATGTAGCTCAGAATTTGTCGTGATAATGTATGTCATTTTATTCTTTTTTTTCTTTTGGATCTTGAGTTTTAAAATTGCCTTGTAGTTTTTTACTCCGATAATTCATTTTTCCTTCTGAGACCATCATACATTCAATGTCTAATATTTTCTACCACTGACATCTCTACTACTTTGATTATTCTGGCAGTTTTCTTGATGATTTCACTGTACTGACATAAGATGACAATTCAAAACAATGTACATATGTTTGACTCTACGTTACCTATGATTGATTGGCCAACCCACCTATTACAACCAAGTTTCAAACATCAAAGCCTAATCGGAAGTTAACAAAAGTTTCGAAATCTAGAAAGTTCAAATTTGCATTCCTAACAACTAGATTTCCACTAAGAATATTTTTAGTTTATTTCAAATCATTATGCACACATATACACCGACATTTTTCTTTTGTTTTGAATTCTGAAAAGTTTAGGATTTTTCAACAAACTAAACTTTTGTCCAATAAGCAATTTGTTTTGTTCGTTGAATGTATTTGTGGTGGTATGCCAAAACATTTGATTCGTTCATATGTAACATACATGTTTACGGTTAAAAAAAGTGTATGTTAACCCAATATATTAAACAATTGTCAAAGTTTTATGTGTTTAAAGTGACTTTTCAATGTAATTTATTTTACTCAACTATGTAGTTGAATAAGAGAGACTGGAACACTGAACACAACAAGAAAATTTAAATTTTTAAGTCAAATGTAAAACTAAACCACCATTAAATCACAACTATTTCTCTAATAACGTGGTAATTCATAAAGGGGGGATAAATAAAGCAAATTAAGATAACTTTTGTTAGATCACATTAATCATCACCTGTCTAACTAAAGTTTACACTTAGATTGTTGGGAGGAGTCGGCAGGGAACTTTGTTTGACCTAGAGTTTGTGCTAGCTGGGATTCGTCAGCAAGTTGTACCAGTAATATTGATAGGACATACTGCTTCACAATCTAATACGGTGGTACCTAGCTATTCCGCCTGTGAATAACTTCTATTAAGATTTAGGTGTTCAAAACAACCTGTCAATCCCTGCTGATTATCTAAATACTCCTAACATCAAAACATTGTGCACGCTATGCAAAGTCCCTTATACTAGTACCCATATAACAATCTGATGAATAGAATAGTCATCATCCCATATGAAATGTGATTATGAAAGGAGAAGTGATGTCGGAGAATATGTATTCTCAGTTGATTTTATGGTATGGAAAATTCTTTTCTTGTAGAGACTAATAATCAACCAACCAGTTGATTACTAAAAAAGTAAAACATTTCACAAGAGAGTTTCGGTTTAGACCAGCCGTATTTCATATCAACATAAAAAAGAGGAAATTAACCGCGACGTACAATGATTAGTTCAGAGTAGTAGTACGACTGATAATAGAAAAAGCTTATAATGGTAAGTGTGGCTTTAAATATCTAGGAATAAAAAGTATAAGATATAGTTACAGTTTCTAACGTAAAGAAAATATGAAAAAATGAATGCAACTACTCTTGTGATTGATTCAAATCCGTATAATTTGACATTTCTGACGATGGATCACTGATATTTCACGAATTTCAAGCAGGAAGTCTACACATACTAACCTGGTTCAATTCAACCGTAAGTGAATTATTCTACTTATTTCACGTCTTCGTCCCATTGCGCCTAGCTTTTTTCGAATATTTTCCTTCCAAATTTAGCACTAGATGTTGACATAAGCGGTGAGTAGTAAACATGCACCCTGACTGAGACGATGGAAAATAGCTTTACCAATCGATAAGCTATTTCTACTTAAGATGCTACGTCTGACTTCAGCACCGCGCTTACTTAGGAATTAAGACGCTTGATTATCAAGTCATTAATTTGAATTCACTTCAACTATTCTGATTTGATTAGACATGCTCTCTGAAAATGTAACTATTTTGGTTTACAATATTTATTTACTTTATTTGGTGTGCATTTTAGAGTTTATGTGGACGAGTACCAAGCTCTAACTATGGTCGATATTTAAATCAATCCTATATACAATTGAGTAATCAAATCCCCATACCGAATAATGATCGATATAAACGTAACGTATCCACTACAACTTTAAATAATTCGTCACAACCACGACAATTTCACTTACCTGATGGTTAGTTTTATGATTTACATGGTTATATAGATACAACTGATTTTTAATAACCGAATAATAGAATAATAATCAATCACATTGATTGACGGTTAAACGTTATCCAATACACGTTTATTGGTTTCTTAGCTCTGACCCAGTCCTATTGGTCAAGTTGCAGTATGGTCGCAAATCCAAGTAATTCGACAATCTGTGTACTGTGCTTTGGTGTTAGTTGTTTGGAGGTAGTTGATAACAGACCCTGAACCTAGGTTTCGTCTATGCCGGCACTTGTCAGCAAGGTTTATCTGCAGTTTTTAATGAGTTTATCATCCTTATGGGATTCGAACGAGTGCCTTTGAATTCCACAGTTTTAGATGCATTCACTCTTTGTCTCTCTCTAGTTATTAAGATCTAAAATTATCTTGTACTTTCTGTATTGAGGATTCATTCTTCGTTCCTGGATCATCAGGTTTTCTATGAGTAATCATTCGAACTACTACTGATATTGTTACTACCTCTACTAATCTGGTATATCATTGTGCTGATATGTGTGTGGTGATTTGAAATATTACATTTTTGACATGTCCTTTGATGCTTAAAAATGGCTGACAAATTCTCAATTCAAGACAAAAACACTTATCTTAAACGCTTTGAATTTCAATCAGCCAGCTACAACGTAGGACCAGGCACATATACACACACCTCATTAGTAATATATAAGAGAAAGGTTGTGTATAAAGATATAATACAGAAAGGAAGAATTAGCTCGTAGAAATGAAGATATAGAGCAATTTTAATCTCTCGGTTTAAGAGGGGACAAAGAGTGTATACACCAACGCCATTGTGGTCGATTCTGAGCCATGTCGCCAAGAGTCTCCAAACATTGGTTACGGTAGTCACACGGACCCCAACCAAATAGTCTGCATCTATCAACACAGCTCACACCAGAGGTTAGTGACTTCGAGCACTGATGCCACGTTTTGGTTTGGCAGCTTCTAACTTGCCTTCAACCATCTCTAACACTAGTCAGCATTGCGCGTCGTGGTAATCGGCGTTCAGACATACGTAAAACATAGCCCAACCATCTCAGTCGATGAAGATTTATAACCTCATCAACTGATTTACCATCATTTCCTAATACCTTGTGTCTAACCTCACTATTACTTACCCGATGTTCCCAACAGATACGAGCAGTATTTCTAAGACATCTGTAATCAAATACTAGTTAATATTAAAGACTGCAACTGATCATATTCTCCTGGCATATGTACAACATGAGCGGGTGGCCTCAATATTGTCATTTACTCACATATTTTAAATGAATTTGGCCAGCAGTGGAATTCAATGTGCCATCAGAGGCTGGTCAGTTTTGAAGATCAACAAAGGGAAAATATAAGCTTTTACAAATACAATACATGTGAGTTGTACTAGCTATCAAGGATCTGGGCTCAACAGTTTAGTAAGTAACACGTTAGGTATTTGAAACAAAATGCACATTAACGATGGAATTTAGGTTCATCCAATTGTAACATTTCAAAAATCTCACTAAATAAATGTACTGAAATCCACTACCACAAAGAGAGAGAGAGAGAAGGCGGGAGGTAAAAAAACTCCAGAATAAATGGGATAATGAAACTTCATCAGTTGAGATGGCTGAGACACGTGTTACGTATGCACAACGACCGATTGCCTCGACGTGCGATGTTCAGTGGTATAGGAGTAGGCTGGAAGAAAGCTAGGGGCGGCCAAACCAGAACATGGCACAAACCCATGAAGTCACTGACAAGTGGACTGAGGCATGTTGGTAGGTGTAGACTACCTGGTTGCGGACCGCGAGATGATAGCAACCGATGGTTAGAGACCCTGAATGGCATGGCTCGAAATCGTTTGCAATGGCTCAGGTGCATTCACTCTTTGTGTTCTCCCAAATTTTGATCTCCTTATTCCTCCTTGTCTCTTTTTTTCTCTTCCCAAATTTATTTCACTCGATTATACCCCTTGAAACCCTAATGTATCTGATTACTGCTTATACTTTTACTACATCTAGCACTACGGGATTCGAATCGATAACTGCATCTCTGCGCTAATGTGGTGTGGCAACTCGAATTGATGTACGTACGTAAGAAGTTCTACGTTGTTACTGACTAACTGACTTTCATTTAGCATTGCTTGTAATTTAACTACATACGTGAATTCTTCTAAACAACCGAATTGTTGGTTTCTTCTAGTTTGTTGAACTACTGTTAACAATCGCTGGATTTGATCACATATGCCAATACATAAATTCTATTAATTTTTCCTTATAATCTGTAAAAAACCCAAAAGATTATATTTATGTGTATTATGTTCCTAGTATTGGTTTTATTCGGTGTTTTTTTTCTTTCCAAAAAAGCATGTTATATTACGCTGCATTATGTTTCAGGTTTTTCTCACAAGTACTGCAGATTATGTAATATTGAGCTGTTTTAAAATTAAATAAATATCGATCAGTGGATCCATTTTTATATCAATAAACTAGATATTGAATCAAACTGACACTAAGGCAATAATAGTTATGCGATAGCAACAACAATAACAAAGTGACTGAATGAAAATTTCTCTTAAATAAGTAACTAAAAAGAATAGGACTATCTTATCAACATAGTTTGTAATGACTTACGACTGTTTGTTTGTTTTCTCTGTTAATAGTTTACAATTTTATGTGGGTTGTTAGTTTCGTCAAAAAACTTGATTTATATACTGTTTGTTGTTTCATTTAGAAGGCATATTGCGTTCTCTGAAAGCTGGCTGACTGACTGATTTATAGTCGTGAAGCTCCGTTAATCTCTCTTAGAAACAACAGGATCGCATACTTTCAAAAGTTTTAGTAAAATTTCTCCACGTATCATTGTTGTAGTTTGTTTTGTAGTGGTGAAATTTTACGGCTTATTGTTGATAAGTGTATATTTCTTCTTTAGTTTATACTGATGCTGATGATGTCATTTAAAATTGTGACGAAATCACTGTAGGACTAGCCAGATCAAATAATGTAAAACTTTCGAAATCTGCTTCCGAGTTACAAATTCCCCTCATCATATTGTTTTCTTATTATTAAGTGCTGGTTGGAGTTAGGTGGTTGGTAAAAAATCTTAAATCTAAGCTTCATCGAAAAGGCATACATCCGATCGTGAAGTTAATGATACCTTCTTGGAATTTGAACCCAAGTCACTCAGCTTCACAGTATGAAACGTCAACACTGAGCTATTTGGCTAGCGACTAATCCCATATGTAACCGAGATTTGTGCACTGATTGATCATTGAGTTGTAACCGATATCATGTTTATTTATTCCTTAGTGCTGATGAAATTCCATTGTAATTTGTTGGTGACGTTTCGTTATATTAGTGCAAACACCCAACTCTTAATAGAGGTCAGTTGTGGACCGAATATATTAGCGGTAGCATGGATATGGTTCACGTGGCTTCGAATTCCATAGAGAACATCACTTCCCACAAAATTGTAGATACACCTTGTTAAAAATCCCAACAAACACAAAATATAGGTTAATGATTACCTGACAACTACCTTCAACCATCTAACATGTTATTATTTTAACCTTGCCTAAGTAGGATGACTCAATATTCTATCGGTTTTCCTTCAACTTCATGAAATAGTTTATAGTTTACTTGTGTAACAATTAAACGTATAGTTCATGTATGTTTGATGAACCATTTATTCTAAGTACAATGACACTAAAATCAGTATTTTAAAAAAATGGAATAATGTGACGTGTTTCATGATACATGAATTATACTTTCATACAAATTTTCAATATCCATAATTTAGAAACTTTATTTCTATTGTATATGGTGCTGACTTTATAATAATATTATTTTTGAAAAGGGTTTAAATGATCTTGTTATTGATATTGTCGACTAAATTTTGATCAGTCTTTGATTAATATATGTGTATCCTGTGTGAATTATCGCATTATAAACATCTTGTCACGTTATTTAGAATGTAGGTATTGTGGCTAATAGCGGGATGGCTATATTGAAACAATCCACACAGAATATACACTTCCAAATCAAGACTGATCAAGATTCAGTTAATAACATCAACAACGAGACAATCCAAACCCTTTTTGATAAGTCACTGTATTGTTTGCCTGTTTCCTTTTGATTATGATATAAATATCATACTCGTTGAAGTAGAAGTTATTTGAACTCACCAACTCCGTGGATAGAAAGTTAGCATTTGAAAGGATTAATACTGCATTCGGGTCTCAGTCCTAAGATAAATACTGGCATTCAGGTACCTCCAGCTGTGACGAATTCTTGAAAGGATGGATCGCGCGCCATGAATTCCACTGCATGCCACAGACCATATACTAATTATTTTTCTCTTAAGTTAGATTAGTTCATAATTTTTTTTATTTAACATACACTAACATTGATTATACTCATCTCTGTCTGCAGCGTTACAAATCAGTAATTGTAACTTCTGAATCTAAAATGTTTAGACACAAGTTTATCTTCATTCTTATAATGCAACAGCATTTTAACAAAATGAAATTAAAACAACTGTCTTGTTTCTTATTTTTACATGTATGTTTAAAACATGTACATCTGTGACTGATTAAGGATTCGGAAACTTGATTTTAAGTGAAGTACACCACTGGTTCCAGTCTTATTAAACATTTCGAGATTCATGGGAATCATAAGTGATGTGACTAACTTTTTTGATACGTACTCAGCTATAACGTGAAACTAATAAAAAAGATATCTTTCTTTTTCTACCAGTACTAAAAAAAAATTAAAAACGGTTTAAGTTTAATCAGTCAATTTATTTTACTTTTCTAGGTGGTAAAAGTCGTTTTCTACCGCCCGGTACAAAAATCTACGCAACATTATTTGGTCGTTCAGCTAGCAGTGCAATCTCACCATTGTATAATACTTATACAAGTACACCACGTTCAACTAATACTACTAGTACTGCTACTAACAATTGTCGCCCTGACATTATTATATCACGTTCTCTTAATAAACCTTTTGCATTGTCAGCTTTTAATCTACATGATGATAACCTTAAAACTGATAAACTGTCATTATCGACAACAACATCAACAAAAAAAATCACCAGAATCTTATCTAATACCACTGATGACAATAATAATTACAATGATAACATTAATGGTGACCATACCAGTCAATTAACGTCAAAATCACATCGAACATATATGGATGATATTAGTCAGTCTGGTCCAATTTTACTAAATGATCGTAATATCACATTGGAAACACGTAAATTAGCTTGTTTACCGGCTGGACAAGAACGTGATAAAAGTACGCCGAGGCCAATTGAACGTTATGATTGGCCAGCGCCACCTGCTTCTGGTGTTGTTTTAGCGGAATTAAGTAAGTTGTTGTCTTTTCTGGTTAGATTAGTGTTTCACCTTCCATTATATATGTACATCCAATTCCTAGTTGCCAACACCGTAGAAAGATATTTTTCCTTAGGTGTTTGAGCACGAAGCTGGATTAGCAACGATCTTGGAGACCTGGTAGTGTGACCATAGAGCACTAGAGGCAACTCCTTGGTACTTACCATGCAGTGTTCATTCGATAGGTTCGGAAATTTTCGAATCTAACGTTTTTCTTACCTATCCTTTCGTTATGACATCACACTCCAAGATAGTCATTAGTAAAACTCCACTCTCTGATCTTAGTTCGCCGCTTTCTGTCTTACCGTTCTTCAAAAAAGTACTTACCATGATAAAATCTGAAAGAATTAATGTTACGACTGGGTCATCACAATATATTAGTCTGACCACTACGTCAAGGTACAATATATATATATATATATATATAATTTTGAATACCGACTGTACAACAATAAAATGCACGCATGTATAGGGATTGGTTCTGTCCCTCGAAATGCAAAATTTTACTTCAGCATTAACTTGCGTCGTCGCCTGAATTATTGATAGGGCGTGAAATAGATTAACGCATCAACTGCTTCACTTATTTCGGGAGTCTCATCAGTCCTGATGTTCTGGCGTCTGACGAAATCTTGGCACGAATTCACAAGGCACGATTGGTATTTGCCAATTCGTGTCACTTGTGGCATGTGTGAGATATCGGTCTTTCAACTAAAGGGCGCGTTTTTTGCCCAGCATTTCTCTCTGTTCTACCTTATGGATGTGAAATATGGCCAATAAGAGTAGAGGGTGGTCGTAGATTACTGCTATTCGGTCACAGGTGTCTTTGGAAGTATTACTCGTGTATTTTGGGATGAAAGAGCAAGCTTTGTCTGGATTAGCAATAGAGTTCTAGGTAAAGATGAGAAGTCGATTGATGAGGTACTAAATCTTCATCAACTGAGGTGGTTGCGACAAATGTTACATGTGACCAATCACCACCTACCTCGACGGGCGATTTTTTCTGGTGTACGAATAGGCTGGAAGAATACTGGGAGCGCCCAAATCAAAACGCGGCATCAGTCCATGAAGTCACCGACAAATGAACTTAGCCAGTTAATAGGTGTAGACTAGCTGGTTGTGTTCCGTGTGATCACAGTAACTAATAGTTACATGGATAAAATGCCGTTTGAAATGGCACAGGTGCATCCATCCTTTGTCTTACACCGAACTCTGAGCTCTTCAATCCCTCATAACTTTTTTCAGTTCTTGTTTCACTAAGTCATATCCTCTTCAATAATATCTTCGATGCCTAGTCTTTTTAATCACCACTAATACTTTGACTACCTCTACTATTCTGGGATTTCGCCTGACAATTCCATCTCTCTGTGCAAATGGGCCATGGCTACCTAAAACCATGTACAGACGTAACAAATTCTACGTCGCGACCGACCGACTGACTTCTCGCTTTGTTTCACTGTCATAAGACCAATAACGCCACTCAGTAGTGATGATCAATTTTAGAGGCTCTTGCACGGGGCACAGCAATATCGTATGTGCACCGGAATTAACACCTCTACCTACAATCATACCACAAACACACAACTATCCATTCACGACAACAGGACACAGTCGCGCACAAAATACCACACGAAACATATATTCAGGCATGCACGCACATATCGATACACATACATATATGTACATGTGGTTGTGCCGGTAGCTGTGTAAATATTTCACCAAATTAACATCTAGATTCATCTATTCGCTCAACAACCCAAACACATAGACGTCATTCTCATATTAACTACCTTCACATTCATTCAGTCAGTCAGTCAGTCTTTAACCGGTCTCTCTGGTTTACTGTACTTCCCTGCTAGTTTCTTCGTCGTATCGTAAAGCTGTTTCATATTTCCTTCTCTTGCAGCTTTTTCCGCTGTCGTTGCTAGTTCTTCCACGTATTTCTGCTTGTCGGCTTTAATGCTCTTCTTCACTTGTTTGTTTGCTTCTATGTACTCAGCTTGTGCTTGGACTTTCTCTGCTTGTGTTCGGCTGTTGTTATTTGCTGTCTTCTTATTCCTCCTTTCTTTGATTTTGTCCAGTGTTTCTACAGAGATCCATTCCTTATGGCGGTGCTTCTTTAGGCCCAGAGCCTCTTGACACGTTGAAGTTAATGCTTCTTTGATACCTTTCCATTTGTCCTCCATAATAGTTTCTTCTTCCTTCAGTAGATCTTGTAAGGCTTGGAACCTGTTGTTGTGAGCTCTCTTGAATTCATTGAGTTTGTCAGTATCTCGAAGGAAGGCTGTATTGAACCTTTGTAGTGCTGTTTGTCCAGTTGTCCAGTTTTTCTTTAGCTTCAGTTTTAAATTGGCCACAACTAGGTGGTGACCTGAAGCTATATCAGCTCCTCTCCTGGTTCTCACATCTTCCATTGTCCTTCGGAATTTTTTATTGATGCAAATATGGTCTATCTGGTTCTCTGTCGTCCCATGCTATCTTCATATCCGGTGTTGTCTATTCCGACTTTGGCATTTAGATCTTCCATCAGAATGGTGAGGTCGTTTCTTGGGCACTTCTCTATGATTGACTGCAGCCGCTCGTAGAATTGATCCTTAATGTCATCGTTGGTGGGTGCATAACATTGGATAATATTCGTTGTGATCCTCTCCTTCTTTGTTTTGAATGATGCTTTGATGATTCTGGATCTGTGAGATTCCCATCCTACAAGTGCATTTCGTGCTACTTTGGACAGCGTTAGAACAACTCCCTGAGTGTGTGGAGCATTTTCCTCTTCGTGGCCGGAGTATAGCAGCATCTCTCCCGTATTTAGCATTTGTTGTCCAGCTTGGGTCCAATGGGTTTCGCTGATTCCCAGTACTGCCAAGTTGTATCTCCTCATTTCCGTTGCCATTTGACTGGTCTTCCCGGTCTCCCACATTGTTCGGACGTTCCATGTACCTATAAAAATTGTTGATCTGGTTGTTAGAAGGGGCATCGGCCTCGTGGCTTCCGAAGGAACTCGGCTTTCACCATGAAGCGTCATAATTCTTCTGAATGAAGACCTTCTAACTTTCAGGGCAGAGTTTAAATGGTTTGAATTTTTTTCTGGTTAGCGTTGTTTTTGGCGAGTTATTTTTCTACGGGATGGGGTCGCTAACCCCATACCCAACCCTCCTCCTTTACCCGGGCTTGGGACCGGCAGTAACTCTAGAAGAGCTACAGGCGGAGTTATAACATATATACTTGTATTATATTAAGAAACCCTATACTGAGGTGGTTGACGGCAATCAGTTGGAAGCCTTACTTTACCTATGTTACACTTGACAGTAAATGATATCTGCAATCTTGAATAAACTGACACTTTCAACATCACTTTGTGTCACAGTTAGATAAATTAACGCTGAGCTGTTTGGGCTACAATGGATCTCCTCTCATTTCCTTCAACACTGAAGATGAACTTACTAATGAGCTTTAACCCTTGGTCAAACACAGATTTCTGCGGATTGCCTATTTCATTCACCCAACATGTTCAACACCTGCTATAAAACTCATTATATTACGCTGTCACTAATGGTTTGTACATATACATAAACGAAAGCTCATACATAGCTTAGCTGATGCTCAAGTTAATCATTATTGGTAAAATCTCATTCTTTCTATGTGAAGAAAAAAAATCTCATCAAGTATTTTTACTCAATTTATAGATAATAATGATCGTTCAATGAGAACGGAGAGAAGAAAATAGACATATGACATACTGATTATATTTTGTATGTTACTAGGACAACTGCAACAACTGAATATGGGCATTCTTCTTATAACGTTTCTCGCTGAGTAAAAAATATTCCAAATTATTTTAATGTAATCGGTAACCTAACCTCACGGCAATATAAATATAGTTATGCATATACATACATAACGCGTAATAGAACTCTATGCAAATGTGTATGTGTCTATCAGACAGCATAGAAGGATCTACTGGTGAATAGTATCACAAAGTACATTATAATTTTTTTTGTTTTGCAATAAAAGATAAAGCCTAATTGATTTGTTAGAGATTGGAACATATGCCAATATTCCAGTAACCTTACATATATATACATATATATATAAGCCGATGTCCCACATCAAGCAGTGGCTACTTTTGGGTAGTACATGTTCTTAACGTTTGACTCGATGGCGGTCCACAGCTTCACCTAAACGGTTTCATGTTCAAATCTCACCTCATCTAATTCCGTTTGTGCAACCGGATAGTCAGTTTCACGGGTATCTCACAAGCAATCGCTAAATAAGTCACATTTTTGCTTCGTACTCTGCTTAATCTGGGCAACACTCATTTAACGATTCCATTATATTCTCTGAATACTTTAAAAACACCTGTAAACAAATACTTATAACTTGCGTGTTTTGCAGTTATAGAGTTATACAACACGAACTGTTGTCCAGTATATTCATCTCTTTTGGTCAGTAGATTAATATTTTGTCTACTACATAAGGCCACAGAACAGTAGATACTAAGAAAAGTTTTTAAATTTTGACGAAATTGTATCACCAAGAACCCCGTTAGAACTGGTAATAGTATTATCAGTTTTTTATTATTTTTATTTCAACACATAAATATCGGTACAAGAGGGCACCAAATAGATATGCGCCACACCACATTTGCGTGTATGTGTGTGGGTTGTGATACTGCTCGGGTGCCCAGACCGAAGCAGTTGGTTTTCCTAGGGGGCCACACCCCGAGCCTTTGACCTAAAGGTCTGACCCACAAGGCAGTGGAGCATCGTATTATCAGTGTTAGAACTGTTAAAAATGTGTTGATAGTTTATTGCATTTTTTAAATATTGTATAAAAATTGGCAAAGCAGCAGGACCGGACAACATCCCAGCAGAGGCACTAAAAGCAGACGTAGCGGCAACTGCACGGATACTCCACATTCTCTTCAATAAGATTTGGGATGAGGAACAAGTACCAACAGACTGGAAAGAAGGACTC